AGAGCATCTTTTTATTTAACTTGGAAGTATCTGTTGAACAAGTATGATTTAAGGAGGAGGTAGATTTGGTCAGTTAGCTGAGTTCTTATTGTAAAGAGAAGACCCTCGTGCCACACTCTATCAAATGCTTGCTGTATATCGAGGAATGCTGATAGACAGATTTGTTTCCCTTCTAGGCTCTCTTTTATTTTGTTGACTAATATATGGCACTGTTGTATGGTTGAGTGATTTGAGCGAAAACCAAACTGATGATCTGGGATAAGGTTTTCTATAGGTATTATTGTTACTATTCTGTTAAGGATTAACCTTTCGAAGACTTTTGATAAAGTTGGAAGGAGACTAATTGGTCTGTACGAACTGGCTTCAGTTAGAGGTTTACCAGGTTTAGGTATTGTTATATGTGCATACTTCTATTGCACTGGAAAATAGCATAGTCTAAGGAGGCTATTAAAAATAATGGTTATTAAGACGACACCTTTTCTTGGGAGTTTTTTTAAGGTTTTGCCAGTTATAAGGTCAAATCCTGGAGCTTTATGAGGGTTAAGCACGTTAATTTGATTACGGACTTCGTTTGGTGAGAAGTATTTTAGTGGTAATGATAGTTGACAGGATGCATTAAGGAAGTCTCTAATTTTCTCGTCGTTAATATCGTTGGCCTGTGAGGTGGAGAAGGCAGTTGATAGATGTTCTGCAAATCTGTTGGATTTTTCTATATCTGATCGATCCCACTACACAAAATGTACCACTACATAAAAAAGGAAACCAGTTAGAATGTGAAAACTACCGTGGAATCACGCTGTTGAATGCGGCATACAAAATAATGTCCAACGTAATGTATGAAAGACTTAGACCATACGCTGAAAAAATAGTTGGCAAATACCAATGTGGCTTCTGTAGACAGACGTCAACAATAGACCAGATATTTGTTCTGCGACAGATCCTTGAAAAAACAAGTGAATATAACATCGACACACATCATCTCTTCATAGACTTCGAAAGCGCATATGACAATATAAACCGAGAATTCCTAACAAAAGCAATGAAAGAATTTAATATACCAACACAGCTAATAGAATTGATAAAAGAAACACTAAAAGTAGAAAGTAAAATCCGGATACAAAACGAATTAACGGAAACAATAGATGTGAAGAAGGGACTACGCCAAGGAGACGCTCTATCATGCATATTATTCAACATCATACTTGAAAAAATAATAAGAGACACAACAGTTAATACCCGAGGAACAATAATTAATAAAAGCGTGCAAGTACTAGCATTTGCAGATGATGTTGACATAATCGCAAGATCAAGAAGAGAAATGATAGAGGCATTCACTCAAATAGAACGAGCTGCAAAAAATAGTGGTCTTAAAATCAATCAGACAAAAACAAAATATATGCCTGCAAATAAAAACGCACAAATAAGGCAGCTGCCAAATTTAACAATAGGAGAATACAACATTGAGGCGGTAAAAAACTTTACATACTTAGGATCCCTAGTTACGTCTGATAACAACGTTGCAGAGGAAGTGAAGAGGAGAATATTTATTGCCAATAAATGTTACCATGGCTTAATTAGGCAACTAAGATCAGATAACGTCTCCAGAAAAACAAAATGCCAAATATACAAAACCTTAATAAGACCGGTACTCACATATGGTTCAGAAACCTGGACACTCTCTAAAAGGGAGGAAACGTTATTAGCCACCTTTGAAAGAAAAATCTTGCGACACATATATAAGGGCACAAAAGAAAACGGGATTTGGCGGAGAAGGTATAACTTTGAACTATACAACATATACCAGGATCCGGATATCATAACATTCATTAAAATAGGAAGGCTACGTTGGATTGGACATGTGGAAAGAATAGAAGAAGGCGAAATACCAAACAAAATATTCAAACAAGGGCCAGTAGGAAAAAGAACAAGAGGAAGACCGAAGCTGAGATACGTAGAACAAATAGAAAATGATATAACAACATTAAAAATTAAAAACTGGAAAAAAAGCACGAAACAGGTCAGAATGGAGAAGAATCCTTGAACAGGCCAAGACCCAAAAAGGGTTGTCGAGCCAGTGATGATGATGATCGATCCCAGGTTCCATCATTTTTCCTAATTGGTGATTTTATTATTACCGGCTTTTTGAGTTTCTTTGTGGCTTTTCAAAGGGAGTTGTCGTCAAGAGAAAGGTTTGTAACATATCTTTCAAAAGATTCGGTTTTGGCTGTTTGGATAACGGAATGAAGTCTGTGTGTGAGCCTGTTTAGATTTGTTTTATCTATCGCGTTTCTTGTTCTTTACCATTTGCGACGGGCTCTTCTTCTCTCTTCTACTAGGGTTCTAATGTGGAGGGGTATACTATACATTTCATCAATGGTTTTTTCTTTTACATGAGTAGCTTTCCAAGCGGCCTGTTGTACTTGTTCCGTTAGATATTTTACAGCTTCTTCAATATCGTTTTTGTGTTTTGAGTCGAATTTCAAGAGATATTTTTTCATTGATTTCTCCTTTGAATTGAACCCAATTCGTGTTACTGGAACATAGCCTTGGTGCAAGAGTTTTCCAAATTATATTGGTACTTAAGGTAATCCAGATGTGACTGTGATCCGACTATAGATCAAAACTAAGGGTGATGTCGCTGTGTATTTCAGGTATTCCCTTAGTTATCGCAAAGTCTCAGGACTTCTGATCAACAGATCAGGAATTTTGTTGTTATCATTGGGCCAGTATGTAGGGGTACCAGTTGTTAGGTATTTCAGGTTATTATCTTGTATGATCTTTAATAGATTTCTGCCTTTTGGAGATATCAGTCTCGTCTCCAGGTTGTATGTTTTGCATTCCAGTCCCCTGCCACTAGAAAATGTGAGCCAAGTTGTTCAAAAAACTCTCTGTATTCCTCCAGATTGATGGTATGGCGTGGTGGGCTGTAGATAGAAGCTTTTGTTAATGGGAATGCTAGCGCATGTACTTTTAGTACTCTGATTTTGTTGATGATATATGGAGCCAGTTCGTAGTGTTTTATAGCTGTACGATTTATTACAACTGAACCAGCATGGGCTGTTTCGTCTGGATGGTTTGCGTAATAGACAGAGTAGTGTAGAATTTTTATAAAAGACCTCTCAGTTGTGTGACTCTCAGGTATAAGTAGGATGTCTATTTTGTTTAATTTTAGAAATAGTACAATTTCTTGCACATGGTTTGCTAGACCATTTGCGTTCCACTCTGCTATTCTAAGTGAGTTAGCCATTACGACGTTCTATTTATCACTGTTGTAAGCATGCTTAGTATCATGCTGTTTTGGTTTATCAATTGTGCAAACATATTTTTAAATTCGTTGAGGAATTCTGTAAGTTTATTTGAAATAGGTAAAGAAATAATAAATAAAGACTTACTCGCAATCAATTTAATTTAACTATCAGACGACCGGTTTCGCTTTCTACAATATGCAAAGCATCTTCAGGTCTCGATATAAAGTTAAATAAATTGTATCGAGACCTGAAGATGCTTTGCATATTGTAGAAAGCGAAACCGGTCGTCTGATAGTTAAATTAAATTGATTGTAAGTCTTATTTATTATTTCTTTACCTATTTAAAATGGACTCACACAAGCAACACATTCATGATTTATTTGAAATGTCTGAATTATTGTTGTTGTCTTGTGAAGAAGTATTAGTTGCTGCAACTTGAGCATATGTTACATGTGATTGACGTACGTGGTGAGCATTAGTGTTATTATTATTTAGGCTTGCAACTCTACATATAGGAATGCTGCTTGTTATATATATTGTGCATTGTACTATTGTATTTTTTATTCTTGGTGGTTCTACTGTTATTATGCAGCTTCCTAGGACTTGCAGGTTAAATATGTTTTTGTTGTTTTCATTTGGCATTATATCGACAAAAAATAAGGGCAATGATTCTTTGGTAACTCTATGTCTAACATTAATTATGTGGCGAACTTTAAAACTCTTATTATTTAATTCATGCGAGATATCTCCTGTGGGTATTGAATGGTGTAATCCTCTTATGACAACTCTATAGATCCTCTCTTGTTTTGGTTGGTAAGTGTGATGTACAATATTTTCTTTTCTAAGGTGCTGTATGAGTGTCCTGTAGGTGTCGGAGATTGTAGGGTTAATTTTTACTGTATTATTTGAAATGGGTTTGGTGTGATAGGTTTCTGCCGCAGTTGCAGTTGAAAGGTTTGCTATCACAGCACTATAGTCAGTAACTCCATAAATAAAGATTGGTGGCGGTGAGGGATCTTTTTTGGTTATATTTGTGTTTTGTGTATTTGATAAATTGTCTGTTTGTTCATCTAGATTTTCTTTTGAGTAAACAAATCTGTTTTGTTTGTTTGTCTTTTTACCCTTTTTCTCTTATTACCAACTTCTTGCCAGGGATGTTTATTTTTGTTTTCTGTTTCGTTAAGTTGTATGTCCTTATCGCTATCCGTGTAGTTATTGGTGTTTTGTGATGATGAGAGTGAGCATTGAGGGTTTGTGTATACTGTTGTATATACTTGGTTTGGTATAGCTATTTGGGTTGGAGTAGGTATTTGGTTTAGGTATGACATTTGATTTGTTATCTGGTTAGATGGTGTTTGATTAAAATACAAAACTAGTACTTGCGGTTTTACTGCTGTTTGGTTTGACTGGTTCTGGTTGTTTATTGTTGGGACATACTGTATTGTATTTATTTGTTGATAAACTGGTTGGCCATTATTATCAAATCCTAATAAGTTCCCCGAAGGGAACATATTTCTTTTGTTTTTCTAATCACTTAATTTTTGTTACTTTTCACTTTAACAATTTTTTGATGCTGATAAGATAATTACTAGTTAATTCGGTAGTTTTACGATAAGGAAATTCTCTAACGCTTTGAATGACGGTACATGTTCACGCTTCGAGAATTAGATTGCTACTAACATACAAATTTGAAAACTTAGGTGTATCGAAATAAATTGTTGATATAACGTAATACTTATATTTTGTTTTCAGAATTCTCCCTTACATCCCAACGAAGTTCCTGACGATAAGGCCCTTGTAGGGTTCGCCCAAATTTCCATAATGGACTGAAACAGACTGGTTTTTCTTTCTCCTGATGCATACCACTTTTTCTGGAATCTACTGATCATTGTGTACATACTGTAGATAGATTTTATAAAAATTTAGATTAGTTCGGTTTTATGCCCAATAACATGTAGGCCAAAAAGCCATTTACTTATTTAAACAATTCTGAAAAACGCTCTTTTATGGGAATTCGGAATTATTTGTGATATTTTGTTTAGACATTGTGGGCTAAATTTGTGGATCTTACATTCAAGTTACTGTTTTTTTGCTTGTAACCTATCATCCGATAGGAATTTCTAAATCTTTTAACCTTCAGTAGTGGCGCGATATTTTAGTGTCAGTCAATGTATCATTCGTGAAAAATGAAAAAGAGTTTTTATTTAGATTTTAAAACGATAAAACTAAATTTAGCCCTTTTAAAACACATCGTAATTAAATCAAATAAGTAACTATTATTTGTTTTAAAAAGGATTGGCAGATAATTTATGCTCTTAATTGGGGTAATCATCTACATGTGTTCATTTTATATGCAAACTTTGTGAAATGTAGAAGAAATCAAAGTATTTAAACTATCTTTTAAATTTTATTTTTATTTTTACTTAGTTCTTTTCAACTTTTATCTGTTTTATATTAATATATAACAGATTCACTATCCGTATTATCTAGTCTAATATATGTAGTCTCAAACATTCTTTGTTATACTTAATCTTGAAAAAAATCATTCAGTTCAAACAACTATTATGTTCTATGTAACTATCGTCCTTTAACATAATAGTGATGGCCGAATAGAATGTGATGTTTAAGGGTTCTAATTTTTTAACGAGAAGGTAAATATATTTTGTTAAGTACGTGAATGGATCTGAATATCTAACTGAACCTAACAATAAAAAACGCCCAAACATGTTCAATTAACCCTTACGCTCCCGAACGTAAATGATTTTAAATATTGAATTAAAATTTTAGGATAATGTTAGTTTATACCTTAATAAGAAGTCAAATTTTTTGCATAATTTACAAAATGACATTTGACAGGATTCAAGGACTAGCACAATTGTGATAATGAAACAAATTTGAGAAAAATGAAACCAAATTTATTGAATAAAGTTATTTGCAATGAAATTGAACAAAACAGTTTTGTTCGTTACTTAAACAAAGATGATCATCACACTTACTACACCTTATTCTTGATCTACTTTGACAGTTTTCTAGACAACATCATACCTTTTTTCACGACAGGGCATTGAAGCGTACTTAACCCTTTTGATACTGAATTCTTCTGTGTTATCTTCATTGTCTTTTTCGGGTCTTCTGGTTTTTGTTCCATTTCAATCTCTAAATCGGACCCACATTCATCTCTCAGTTCATAAATTTTATCCGAAATACCCGTAAGTTCATCCAAGTTAACCTTTCTTGTATCTCCTGCAACAAAAAACATAGCTGGTTCTGTCTATTTTTTTTTTTCGATTTTTACTGGGTTAACTGCCGAACCCCACAATTGTGATCTAGCGCCAAAACTTAGTGAAACTAAACCTATTTAAAGCAATAATACCCATTAAACATGTTTAAAACTGTTTCTTAGTAATACTTACTATTTTTTGCCATTGCAGTACACACAAGTCTAAATTATTACGAAATACGTCCGTTCATACTCTAATCGCGTCAAAGAATGAAAAGGGAGACGAACGGTACCGATTCAGCGTGACTACTCGCACCTAGCACAGTCATGTCATACGGGAGCGATTCGTGAAAATTTGATTTTAAGCCTAAAACAGCATTTAGATTAGACTCACACAATAATTGTAACATCATGGAGCGTAAGGGTTAAATCTACGAATAAGGCCTGAATACGTAAAGATCCAGTAACTGAGATCGGTCGAACTGAATCTTAAGTCATCACTATCTACCAGTCTCTTGAGAGATATTCGCACCACTACCAAAGGTTAAGAATCTAGTAACAAAAGAAAAGCATCGCATCAATAAAATTAGTAAGAGATGGAAATATGTAATAAAACTGGATAAGTTAGTACCGTCGTAATTTTATGCGTTGTAACGATTTTGTTAATAAATTTAAATATTTAAATTGGTCAATTTTCCTTTTAAGATGTCATTAACACTGCTACTAAATTATAAAAAAAATGTGGCATTGTTCCATCTTCTGCCTATATAAATGTTCAAAGAAATTTGTCCACAATACGGCAGCTTTAAAATATCTTTGAACTCATTTGATACCGTAACGGACAATTCATAAAATGTTCATTACTATTTGATTCTGTTTTTAAATCTTTACTTTGAGAAAATATACTAAGTGAGAAATAATAAACTCTTAATATATTGTTAACTTTCAAATTGCATTTCTTCATATATGTTGTACGCTATAGAATATATTTTAAAACCTTGATTATTCAGTGTTGCCTTATTCTGAACTCAGCATATATAAATCAATAAACATAAACTTTTGGACACAATTAAAGCACTTATCATATTGTCTAACATACATATAATTACAATAATATACCGCTGCAGACCAAATTAACTGGACATGAAGTAACCGATAACAATCTTATAACTTCAGTTATCTAGTGTTGCGTGTCAACCATAGACGTGTTATAAACAAAGATAAAAACGATTTAAACAAAATAAACGTATGTAGTTTAAATCGCTAATATTTTTTAAGAGAATACTTCTCGGTATGCCTGTATACGGTACGTTGCATTATAATATACATATTATATATACATACAGATTGAACCAAATTAAAACGGAACATACAATTTAATACATGTCTGTTTGAACTGCATTTAAAATAGTGGACCAATATAAAACTTGGACAAAAATAAATCCATACCTGGGTATAGACATTGTATAAAATATCGTTCAACTATCTGTCTCGCAACAAATTTGTTTGCGTAAGACGGGTTTGTCTAAGGAGGCGTAATAGTTCAGGAATTGAAGCTCGAAAAAAGTTAAAACCTCGCAATTTTTTCGTCCTGCATGTATCCAGTTGAAATTTTAGCAGAAGGTAGGTAATAGCCCAAGGATCAAAATCTATATCGAACCGAAGTGCGCTGAAGGGTTTTAGGAGTGAAAACTACCCCTAATTGTCAAAAATTATAAAATAACATATTAAACCTGAATATGGGTAAGATTTGGTTTGAATTAATTAAATAATGATTATTTTATACTTTTGAATAGAGTTCCATCATATTTCAACCCTTAAAAAGCAACCCTTGTTAGAGATTAATGTAAAAAATTACTAATTCTAAAAAAATGATTTCGCCTTGGATCGATTTGGATAAAAATTTGGATTTAAGCTCAATTCACCCGCTGCTTTATAGTTTATGTCATGTCGACGAATCCTGATTGTTCTTAGGGGTGAAAACTACCCCTAATTGTCAAAAATTATAAAATAACATATTAAACCTGAATATGGGTAAAATTTGGTTTGAATTAATTAAATAATGATAGTTTCGTGCTTTTCAATAAAGTTCCATCATATTTCAACCCTTAAAAAGCGACCCTCATTAGAGATTAATATAAAAAAATTAGTAATGCGAAGAAAATGATTTCACCTTGGAACGACTTGCATAAAAATTTGGAATTAAGCTCAACTCACCCTCTACTTTATAGTTTATGTCATGCCGATGAACCCTGATTGTTCTTAGGGGTGAAAACTACCCCTAATTTTCAAAAATTGTAAAATAATATTACAAATCCTAAGATGAGTGAAATTTGGTTTGGATTAGTTAAATAGTGAGTTTTTTATACTTTAAAATACAAATTCATACATTTTCAACCCTTAAAAATCAATTGTTGTGAGTGCTATAGGTGAAAACAATTTTTTGCCAAAATTTTGCAACTTTTTAACTTTTGAAAATCACCCTTTACAACATTGCAGTTTTTATAAACTAATTTATAAGATATAAATTTAAAAAAGTAGAATTAAATACAAAAAAAAATATCAACATAAAAAGGCACCATATATTCTTATACATTTACATAAATAGTTGAAAATATTTACATTTATAGGTAAAACAATTATAATATTAATTTTATTCGTCATCAATTACATCTTCATGTGATCTATGTCATCATCATCTTCCTCAATTATTGGTGGACTGTTATTGCACCCTTCACCTGAGCACCCAGAACAAGTAGAGTTACAGTATAAACCAACTTTTCTGCACCCATATGAAACGCCGCATCCTTTTTTCCATTGGCAAAAAATAATTTTCAAAAATTTATCGGGTGCAGGTTGTTTGTTCATGCGTACGGGTAATAACAAACCATCTTTGGAAAACCATCCCCAATCTGTTGCTCTGATATTTTCATTGCCAAGCCATAGACATATGAGCAGATGTTTTATTCTGTTGTATAGGATTTCAAAATAAGAACGCTTAAAATTTCGAATGTATAACGCTCCACTAGCTAATATACCGGTTTTGTAGATTATTATGCTCCGAAATGTACTGTACTATACTAATGGAATTTTCCGGAAAAAAATTAACTGGTTTTTTTAACGTATTTCCTTTCATTTTTAACGATAGATGTTTCTTCAAAAACGATTTGTAGAGGTTTTTAATAGCTACAAGGATCTGTGAATTAAATCTTTTTGGAACCCTTGGTTTTTAAATGGGGTGAGTTTAAAGGGCTCGAAAAAGATGGTGCTTGATCGTAAATCGATGCTTTAAACGGCTATATCTCGCCAAATATTCATTGTACAACAAATCTGGTAATTTTTATTTTTTTCATATATTCAGTATTTTCGGGCATATTTAAAAAAAGAAGGGTAAAAAATATGAAATTGTAAATCGTTTCTCGCTTTAAGCTGTACTTTTTCTAAAACTAAGCATTTTAAATGGGTCAAACTTCTTGGACGTATTAACAATACATCTACAAAGGGAATTGCAGAAGGGTGAAGATCGATTTTAATTATGGGGGTGGTTAGGTTGTTGTTTTCCTCGATTTTTTCGTAAAAAATGAGGTATTGACCTTATTTTTTTATGATA